TCAAATATATTCTCTAGAGCAATATCAATATGCATACTTCTTATGTTATATAGTTATTTCAATTAGTAATAGCATTTATAAAACTTGTCTGAAACAGGCGTATTATCCTGTTCTTGTTATGATAATACATAAAGATATGTGCATGTCTTATTTGTTGGATTCGGGAAGGTTATGTGCGGTAGCACCAGATGCGATATTTACACGAGTTGTCTAGGCAAGAGTAAAAATATAATAGCTGGTGCGGGCGGGCACAATGTGTTTTTGTCTTGCATGTATGACAAACAAGATTTTTACTGCTTTTATGCTTGTGTTTTAGGTCCGAGAGACTGATCTTTGCCATGTAATGTCAAGTGTTTGAAAATATTACATTAGATTATAAAGAAACATTGTCATTATATGTATATTATCTAAATATCTGAATTTACCTAAATTTTGTTAAAAATAATATCCATTTTTATGTACTACTTGTAATGTAACACTATTTCCTAAAAAATGACCTTATTGTGGTATATTGTCTCATTCACATTCGAGTGAACATCAGACACAATGAAAACTATAAATGATATAATTTTGGCATTGTGATATTTCAGGTATAATTTGTTTGGTCTTTGCGGAGCATATGAATACACCTATTAGGATAAGAAGTTTTAGTCACTGGTGTTACTAACTTGTGCACTAAACAGCACACTTTGTAAGAAGTAATGCGAATTGATAGAGTATGTCATAATCGGTATTATAAAATTAGATTACATGGTGATCATGTTTATAACCATATACATTTAGCAATGAGACTTAGATTTTAAGAACGCTATTATAAATAGAAAAATACGATTTGATAAGATGTTATCTGCTGTTCTATGTTACATAATTATATATATATATATATATATATATCTGTTGTGTCATGTGTTAGAGGTAATTCGTTAAAACCAAATTGGTTTGACGTTAAATGTGGTTTGCGTCAAGGATGCATATTATCTTCCTTGCTTTAAATTTATATTATCTTTTGATCTGGGTATAAATTTTGGTAATGAAAAAAATTTGTATCATGTTATACGCTGATGATATCGTTATTTTAGCTGATAATACTAAAGATCTACAGATATTGTTAAATGTCTTAAAATGGCTGCTGTTCGTTGAATGATATGAATGTTTACCCTATGGAAATTCCGTCCGAAAGCTGTTCAACGTATGACTGTTGCCCTTAAATGTGATGAAAATGTATTAAACATAGTTGATAGGTATACTTATTTAGGTGTCATATTACTCGAGCATTTCGATCAAACAATAACTGCTAAAGCTGTTGCTTAAAATGCTAGTCGCACATTGGATTTTTAATCGCAAAATGCAAAGGGTCAGGTGGTGTGCCATTTGAAGTTCATCCTAAATTGTACGATTCTGTTGTTTGGTGTGTAATAAGTTAAAGTGCACCTCTATGGGGTTCTTGGTCTTATTCGTGTATAAATGCGTTTCACAACACAGCGCAACGCTTTTTTCTAGGTGTCGGAAAGTACACTCCTTTATATCTTTCAGGGCATACTTTAAGCCAGGTAACTTTTACATATACTATGTTTACATGTAATACTTTTATCAAAAGCTTAGATCATTAACATTTGCAAATTAAAGTCATTCTTACGAAAATAATCACTCTTCTTTTAAAAAACTTTATTATTAAAGAATTTCAAATCTTTACATCCTACAGAAATAAGGTTTGTTCGACTTTTTTCACATATAACATTTGTATTACTCATAAACAGATTTTTCATATTTTATGTAACATTACTTATAACTTTTGGAATTGAATTGATTTACATTGTTGTGTTAAAATGGTATAAAATAATACATGTAAAATACTGGAAAGCATGAATTAAAAAACTATATATCATCTGCGAAAATTATTTTTTATTTTAAATAGAATGCTTCAAAGATGCTTGGATGAAATAAATAGAGACATGCTATATTGCAACTTTTTTGACATTCGGCTATCACACAATAAAAAATAAAATTGTACTGTAGCTTTATACCCTTTTAAAAAAGATATTCATTTAAATTGTACATAATTTGATAACAAGGCATCCAATGATGGCAGCATATCTGTTTGCAGTGATAAAAATATAAATTACTGACATTCATCATTTTATTATTTTGTAAGATTTACTTAAAAAAGGTAAGTTTTGCCGTGTTGGACCCTCTTTAGGGATTCTTATTTTCTCTACTTTATTCATTTAATAAGCCACTATATTGAATTACTTCAGTTTGACAATAATGCAGAAAAAACTGTACTTGGAATGCTCATTCATTTAGAATTAATTAAATGATATAACATGTAAAATGGTTAAATGACTGACATCTTTGCTATTTCACGTCAAGTTATGACTAAACTGTATATATTGTGATGTGTTAATGATCGCAGTATGTACAGGAATTTAGTATTTCCATATTTATTTATTTCAGGCCTTGATATATCTATTTTTTTACATTCGAGATTGACATTTTCATAACTGATTAGAGCTTATTTCACAGGGAACAAAACTTGACTTTAACACCATAGCTTAAAATCAATTTATTTTTAATATTGAGGACAATAACTGATGGAAATGTCAATTTAAAGTTATTGAACTCGTTCATAATGTATAACTATATATCTTAAAGTGGCATCATTTAAGCCAGGTAACAGTAACATATAATGCGTTTACATGTAATACTTTTTACGAAAGCTTAGATTATTAACAATTGCAAATTATACTCATTCTCACAGAAATACTGACTTTTCTTTCAAAAAAAAATTAAGTAATTCTTTACATCCTTCAGAAATAACTTTATTTCTATCACATATTACAATTATGTATTACACATAAACAGGTGTTCCATTTTTAACGTAACATAGCTAATAGCTTTTGGAATTAAATTGTGGTTCTTCTCTATTGAATATTTCCTACACATTTTAATGTCAAATTTCCTTCAGAAAATATGTAGCCTATAAAGGATTCATACAAATATTAAAATGAACTTTTAAATGACGTATTTACAACTCTTACAATTTTATAGCCTCGATTTGTTGTTCCAGCTTAGAATTCAATGTGTTGTAACTGTTGTTGCTAATACTATACATGTATTAAGTCTGATAATGCTTGTTAAATAAAGGAAATATTATATAAAACACTGATGACATGAAAAATGACGCTTTCAGATCAAATTAAGATAAAAAATAAAAAAAATATAAATAAAAAGATATAACAATTTTCAAATAAATTGATTCAAAAGTTATTAAGTTATTTTTATTAAGAAATAAAAAGAAGTTGCAGAAACAAATAACATTTTTTTCATAAACACTGAAACTGTTTTATTCAATTAAACGCCTATTTCTATATACATATTCAATGGCGTTGTACAAAAGGATAATAAAAGTATGTACATATAGATAAAAAAACACATATGCATGACAAATGAACTACAAAAAAAATAAGTTAAAGATAACAGCCGTGTAAAATATAAAGTATTAAAAACTTAAAAAAAAGAATAGTTTTAAAAAATAATGAAAATAAAAATTAATGGTTATTACAGTAAAATTGTAAACACATTTCCACATCTCGATCAGTTTACTGCCCAATCACAATCTTAAAACAATGCGTAAAAATCTCTAAAATAGTAGGTTTTGACATTTTTCTTGAACATGTCCAAAGTCGAAGAATTTCTTATATACAGAGGCAATTTATTCCAGACAGTTGGACCAACGGTACTAAAACTTCTGTCGTTAAATGTTTTCCTTTTGTTAAAGGGGACAGAAAAACAATAATCCATATTATCAACATATATGAAATTTGGTCTTTTTATGACAGGCTTGTGTAACAGTTCTGTTAGATAAACCGGAGCATTGCCCATAAAACAGTTATACATTGTACAAAGTTTTTTAAAATTGATTCTAGCTTCATAAAAATCCTTAAGTTCAAAGATGATAATTCTAATAATATAGGAGCTAGAATTATGAGCATGGCCACATACGGTGTGGATGATGATAAAAAAAAGGATATAAAAGAAGTCCAAAGTAGATACATTAAGAACAATTTGATAAATTCTGCAAAGAATTATAAGTTCAAGGGGGCAGGATAATAATTCTGGTGCAAGAGACGTGAACCTTGTCATTAAGTATGTGGTTGATAATCAGAAACATATTTTTACGTTTGGAGTTATAACTTTTGTCATATTTTAAGTCTATTTGTTTCCATAGCAACAAATTTTTAATACAGAAAATGAAGACGTGCATAATATCCAGACTGACTAACATTTACCCATATATCATGTTTCATGTTACTATTTTAGTACCATTTGTGTTATCAAGGGATCCAGTTTTGTGGACGGAAAGACAAAGGGTAAACCTAGTCACATCCGGTTCAACCGGTAGGGAATTGATAAGCGGGTGCGCATTACCTAAATATTGTAACAGTTATATAGTTATATTAGATTGATACTTAATTATAAATTTTCTGAAACTTTTCTTATTGAACTTTACAAAAACCATACAAAAAATAAGTTCAAGCAATGTACTTTTTATTTACTTTGATAAATATCGGGTTAACAAAGACGTTGGTAATTATCATGTACAGTAACTGTATGATATTATTATTTAAAGTTAAGCGTTCTTTGTTAAATGTATTAGGTAATAACATATCAATATAAATCAATGCACGATCATTGTATAGAATTTGATAATAGGAGTGAACAAAATATCTTTTAAACGTTTTAAATGTATAAATAAGATATAATAAAACAGATCAACTGTGTATCATTTTTCATTGTTTAAGTTACTGTTTAAATATTCCGCACCATTACTGTGGTTTCAGCGAAATTGCTTCCTCCAAAGTCTCCATCATTACCGTTCAAATTATGACCTGTACATATATAATACGATTAATAATCGTTCAACCGTTAAGATATGATAATGAAAGAGGATAGTTAACATTCTTGTATCTGTTATTGTATATATAACAAGCACACTTGAACAGATCTAAACTTCCTGCTTTGAGATAAGTTTTATTTTAACCATTGATGTTACATCGAATGTTCTTTTCATGTGGAGTTTACGTGTAACGGTGTTTGGATATTATGGGATAAAAATTACTTATTCTTTTTTGGAAAAATGAAGTGGAGTTTAAATTTGGTACGTAGAAAAGATTAGAAAATAACTTTTCATATATTTTTTAAATGATTAGTTAGCATTGAGTACCACATACGTTTTTCTGCCGTAAATGACATGATTTCATAGGCGCATAAAATGATATAGTTGTTTGAAGGTATTTGTAGAGACAGAGATATGACAAGTTAGTATTGTTTCCTCCACAAAATCTCATAATACTGATTTAAATCTGATCCAAACAGCCGATAGTTGCTATTGTGCACAGAATAAGATTTTTTTACTTTATCGCCATTTGAACAATTAAACACTTTCCACTTCCATATTTGCAAAAAGAGCTCTCGCATATTTCTGTTAAAGAATCAAAATTGTTCTAGCGTTTTGAGATTTATACAGCATACAAAAACCTGAATATTGTATTTAGCTGAAAGCTTGCTATTTAAATTATCGTCATCTCTAACTTCTACACAGGTAAAAATGTACCACATGTTTAATTTATGATCGGTACACCTGTTTTTATAAGAGTGAAATATTCATTATTTGCTAAATAAATATCAGATGAAAAAAGATACGACAAAACATGAGTTTCTTATCTCCTTCGGTGCATCGTGGTAGACTGAATTCGTTTACAACGTACTAGATAAATCTTCCCTAGCAAATTCTGGAAATGTACATTTTACAACATCGCCCATCTCTCGGTTGTTTAAACTGTATATTTATTTTTGACGTACATATTATTTTCATTTAGAATCAATATAAGACTTTATTTCAAATTCACAATTAGCAAAATACAATGTTATACATTAAGTTTAAAGACATCTTAATTAAATAAGACGGATGCTAAGTTGATTAGGCGACTGCCTGTAAACTCACGGGTCGTAGGAACAAACCATACATACGGGAGGCACTATTATTATTTGTCTTGCTATTACAGTTATGTTTAGCTCAAGGAAGCGAACTGGATTTTAGTTCAAATACGTTACAAAATTCTGAATAGTTTAACACATAACATTATGTTTAAAAGGAATGAAAGAAAATATTATCATGACAAAAAATTGACGCTTTTTCCATTTTATTATAGAATAGTGTGTGCATTGAGGAATTATCAAATCAAGGGTCAATATAGATAGTTTCAATTTTTCAATATAAAAGCAATTACTGAACCTAACGTGTATATCCAGTAATGCAGGAATTTGCAAATAACGTGAAAGTAATCCCGAATATATGCAATGCTATTGCCAAAACGAATAACACAGTAAGTAAACGAACCAAAATATTTTATTCTAAATCAAATTCAAAGAAATGAATAAGCGCATACGGCTGCTACGACATTATACTTTAACTAGCATTACCATTATTTTCAGGAATATGTTTGCTTCTTTGTATCATTCATGAGAAAGACACCCTGATTACCGTTTTAATGGTGGCCTTTGTATTTCGTCATTTAACACATTTAAAAAAATATTTTTTTCATATTCTGTATACCTAAGACATTTGTCAAACTACAAGTGTCGTATAACAATAGAAGGAAGCTGGTAAAATAAGATTAGCTACTTTTAATGAGATAACCGCCACTGCTTCAGTGCTTTATTCACAAATTCGGCGTTACCACGTAAATATCGTCTCAATTACGTGTTATTTGCTAAATCAAATGTGATAAGAAACGAGTAGATTGGAAAATGCCCCAGGTACACCAAATATAAAATATCACGAAGTTATATGTACATTATTGTATTTATGTATATCAACGAAACTAAAAACACGTCCTATATACGCTAGTCAGGTCGTCATTTTCACGAATAATATTGAAAAATAAACATTTGCATGGAAATATTTTTGATGAGGTTTAAGGAATAATAACTCAGCAACCGTATGCCTTAATTCATTTCTTCCAGATTGGTGTACTAAAAAACATTTTTGTCCATTTACTTATCGCGGTGCTCTTTTAGCCTCTAAATTGCACAATTCTTTGCTACGTTTGTACAATTGCTGCTTTATTTGTAAATTCCTGCATTACTGGATATACACGATGGAACCTTTTCAATTTTTATTTGTAATTTTAAAATGGTGTGACAATGCCACACTTGTTTAAAAACAAACAATACCGCTATCAATTATGAATATGTATCGTTTCACATTGGACGTTCCACGACAACTACAGATGTTTCAAAGTTCCAAAATTTACCATTTCACAATTAAATGTTAAATACCGCTTAACCGGTGTGTAGCGGTGTAGAGAGTATATTGCACGTTCAATTACAATTCATAAATAGGCTAAATCGAATGGAGCATGCAACATTTTTAATTTTGCCGTTATGTGCATTCATCTAGAATTGTTTATTTCTCTCTATTTTACCTAAGTTTAGAAAAGACGTACATGTATTATTTTTGAAGTTGCGTTATATATATTTCAGACATTGTTTGTTTGGTGTATATGGTTAAATGTTAGCAAGAATCAGGTAGAAGGAGGTAACTTAATTTACAGCAGTAAAGTTATAGAAGATAATAATGTGATATTCATCTTTGTTAATTGAAAACGTAATAAAATTCAAGAAAAAATAAATAAACATACATAAAGCACGAAAAGGTGTTGATAACATTACTGAAATATTGTTTTTCTTTCTATTATAGAGATTAATGAACAATGTTTAGAAGATTGTGGATGCTGTATAGATAGAAAATGTGGACCTGGGCATAACTTTCCTGACGAATGCACTTTCGGCTGTATTAATGGCCATAGAGGTGCTCGATGTTATGAACTATGTACATACAATTGTACAGAATGCCCTTATCGTGCAGATGAGTGTAGTTCGTGTTATGATGGCTATTACCCCGGCCCTGCTAGAGATTGTACATCAGAATGTTTACCCGGATGTAAAACATGCACGTCAGGAACCACGTGTACATCATGCAAGGATGGATATGATAACGCCGTTGGTCAAAATGATTGTAGTAATCAATGTAATAATAGTCAATGCGAATCATGTAAGGACTAGGGAGAAAACATAAAAGCGGTGAAAGGAAGGGAGGGATATGTATTAGGTAAATGATAAAAAGTAAAAGGGCCAATACGGGATATAAAGGGAAAATGGATATAAGGGGAAATAAGGGGGAGTGGTAGGATTAAGAGGGGTAATAGGGAAATATACCGTTAATGTCAAATTAACAAGATAAGACTTCACAGAACGTGCAAACATTCATAACATTTATCAAATCGCAAAACACACACGAACACAGAGGGTGACCGCCTTGGAACGGCCAGTAGTAATAACACCACTGGAGTGTTTTAACCGGTGTTAGGTTCGCCTCACACTTAGTCCAACAATGTTCCTTTATGTCGAGAAAGTGTCAATTAAAGTGACTGTAAAAATAATTATACGTGTTTATGTACAGAATTAAAGTACGAATATGAGAAAAAGAGATAAATTATAAAAAAAATTAAAGAACGCACAAAACGACAAAATTGAAATTGTTGCAGGCTTGGTTTGATTGAACCTGTTCATGGACGGTATTAGAATGTGCAAGTTACCGTCCACGTCCCCTAAGACTGGCTTAAGTAGTTTTCGACGTTTAAATTGAAATAGTAAATACGTAATTTTGAAACATCCGCAGATGCGTTTATACGGCGATTATCATGGACCCTTCAAAGTGACACGTTAATGTCTTCCATAAAAAGCGGAACGCTTTTATTTCTACGCCGCCAAGATAATTGTGTTGTTTATCGATGATTTTTAGACTCAAGTACCTCAGAAAAGTCAGTAGATATAGCTGATATATCCCTTGGACATTTTTCTGCTGTGTCAGCAATTGTTAACATCATACTTGTGGTTACAGTGATTCTCTGGAAATCGGAAAAGGTAAAGATTGTTCATGTATCCAACTGAATTAAAAGCAATTTCATGAAAGAACTTAAATATTAATATGAGAATTGAAAATCTTATATAAAATATGAAGTATGTCAGATCTTACAATAAAAACACTTCAAACGTGGTATTATACGTGTTAATTGTTATGATGGTATTATACATGTTTATGGTTATGAAAGGACGACTTTTCAAAAGCCATTTTCAAAATTTATTCGCAATTCAAGCTCCTTTTTCAGCTTTCATTTTCAGACTTTATTGATCATTCAGCGAAGGTCTATTTTCTCCGAAAATGTAAAAACGTTTCACTTTTAACTTCATAGAATCGATTTTTTCAAAGTTATGCCCTTTCTTACTCTTTCTTTTTTAAGTTTACTTTCTAAAAAAAACTGTCAGAAGTTGTCACTTCAAAATTATAAAACTTCTTTTATTTTTAAATTGAAATGCATTTCTAAAGGAAATGTAACTCTATGTGTTTCTTTGTAATGCCCCTTCCTCCTTTTACTAAAAACTAAAAGAATGTCAACAAAAGCAACACATCATTAAATTTCTAATTTGATTTTAATTTTTAATTTTAAACAGAATTATTCAAATATTTTCAGGCATTGAACTGGAATGTGGCAATTCAGGAAATGTTGGCGCTATCAGCAAGCATGGAATTGTACAATGTTTTCTACACTTTTAATTGACGTCTTTCTTGATTTTTCTTTGCATTTCATTTAAAATATATGTGACGCGCTCAGCGATTTTTGGCCCAATTGAAGTTTTTAATAATTGTGAGAAAAACGCTTGCAAAGTCACGCGAGTGTTCATGTCTTAATTTTTAGGGTTTCCCTTCAAAACATAGTATCTTTGAAAGTTTAAAGAATAAAATAAACTAGAAAGAAATAAAAAAAATTACTTTTGAAAAGCCCTTCTCAGCTTCCACGATAAACATTTCCCAAAAATCTATATTTAGAATAAATACACTGTCAGGAGTAGGGTCAGCGAGTACACTACCTTTTACGTCATGTTACTGCATATATTTGCAGGTTTAAGGTAGTAGGACCCTAATGGGCACTATCAGGAACTAAAGAATTGACATCATAGGTCAGATGTATACCTTAAAGTACACCTGTATGCAAAATTTAAACAAAGTTTACCGTACGGAAATAAAGTTTATGGCCACTTTTTCTGAACTCAAGCTAGGGTGTTATGAGGCCCTTTTTTAGAAAAATGAGTAACCTTTAAATAATCTGCCAACAACATTTCTAATGAAAATGTTTTCCATGAATTTTTTGGTAATAAAACAAATAGTACCATTCAGCTAACAATCCACATAAGCAAAAAATTATGGTTTCTACTTAAAAATTTATGAAATCTGTATAAAAATGTTACCCTACCCCACCCATTTTTACCACATGTCAGACCATTTTTCTACTTTAGGGAGCCTAATTTCAAAAAATTCTTAAAATTTACCCAAATGAGTGCCTGTTTTCAAAGTTTTCCCTAAATTTTTAAAAAAATATATTGGTTGATCTTGTAAAATATGAAATACTTTTACCGTCTAGTTTGATTATATTACACTTTGAAAATATCAGGTACCATATTTATTACTAGATTTTAGCATAATTTAGCCAATAAATACCTATATAAATTAAAAATTCAAAAATTAAACACTTTTTTCTTTCCATATGGGACATGAGAGATACATAAATAATGTTAAAAGAAAAAAAGAAAGAAAAAAAAAGTTGACCCTTCTGGGGATTGAACCCATGGCCCTTATTTTCAATGTAGTTAACAGTAATTCTAGCCTATTTAAATACTCTTCAAAGCGGAGATAATGCATTAGGGTGCTAATACCTTAAATAAATATTAAGGTAAGTGCATTTTTTATTATTTATGCTGTTATTGTACATTATTTTTTTCTGATATGTTGAATATGAATAACCATCGTATTTTTACTTTAAACAATTAAATAAATGGGACCATGACACTTGAACTGGTTTATATAAAAAAACATGGCAGGCATCTGGGTCAGGTCATGACAGACACATTTTTTGGGATACATTGTTTATTGCACTCGATTTGTATTTGTCATGGTCTTTATAGAAAGTTATTGTTAACTTTTTTCTAAATTAGACATTGATTACATTACAAAATAAATTGAAGTCCAGGCTGCAATGAAGGAAAAAAAGTAAAACAAAAGTTGCCACAATTACAGTATTTTTTCTACATCACTATGACAAAAAATGTAACTGGACACATAACAATATATTTCGCAATTTGTTTACAATGAATGAGCTTGATATAGATCTACATCAAGTAGATTTATACTGTATAAAATATTTATAAAAAAGGAAATATATGACAAGGCTACAGTAGATCTACTGTAATAATTGACAAATGAATTTCTATTACAATTCAAGATCAATTTAGTAAAGGAAATGTTATCCCTGTACTGCATGCTGCTTTTGAAAAACAATAAATAGATCTAGAACTGTGATTGAAGATGTCACCATAGATAAATACTAAAATGCATTTATTATCATTAGCCCTTTGCCTTTGGTAGTAGATCTATCTACAATAAATCATATTATATTCACATTACTTATACCACATGGCATATTCTACCAGCAGGGCTTCCATTAAGTTCCAAACATTGGCAGTCAAAGACTGCAAAATGTCTGTAATTGGAAGTCACTTTGTAGGTAAAGGAGGAAAAGCATTACATTTTGGAAGCCAAAATCAATGAGTAAATGACTCCCAAACTTTAACTAACAGAAGCCCTGCTACCAGATATTTTAACATTTATGAGCAAGCACTTTTTGCTGAAGAAATATTTTGTGTTGTTGTTTTAGGTCTGACAGCCAACAATAAGAACATACATTTAAGATCTTCAACTTAGTTCATCAGAGTTTTGAAGTAGATAATATGATTATCCAGCATGTTGGAGCCATATTTCTTCAAGGAAACGTACTGGTAAGTGTTTTGATACTTGGTTTAAAGATCAATGATTTACTATGATTTATAATCATTGTATACATATGTAAATAATCATCATAACCTGACCATTCTCACCCTTTTTATCAAATAATGATAATGATAAAATTTTCCTGAATTGCAGTTGAAAGTAATGTAACTTATTTGCAATTTAGCATTTTATATATGATGTCAGATGAGATCTTAAAAATATTGTTTTAAAATTAGATAACTCTGTACAGTAACATGAACTTAATTTTAAGTTTATATTTAGAAATAATGCTGTATTGTTTTATGCAAATACTCTGTCAATAATGTTAAGCTCTTAAAGTATATATACATAATTTTCAGAAGACATAGATAGTTCACCTATTTGCTGTCAGATTAATATACTAAACTATTGTTGGAAATGAGGCACAATGTGTGACATAGTTCTATGCCCTATTGAGCACCAGGGTTATGGAGTAAAAAAGACAATCACTTGTATCAACTGTACTGTATTGGTCAAGATAAAAAACACTTCAATTGGGTATGCGCCATGTATATTTATGCAATATTCCACATTCTCTTTACTTTTGAAATAAAGAGTGCGGTGTTCCCAGCACAATACATGCACATAATGTAGATTCAGATTATTTTAGACATGTTCAAGATTATTATTACTGCCACTTGTACATGATATATAGACTGTATTATATTACACAAGAACTTACATGATGAACAAGACCTTATATGAAACCAATAGCTGTGCAACAATATACAACAATTTACTTATAGTTCATTTCTGTTCAGTCAAATATCATATACACTATATTGTAGTCAAATCATCATATACACTATATTGTTTCATTTATACTTATTCAGGTTTTTGTTATTTCAGGATGGCATGTGAGAAGTCAATGACTTGTCTATGTTTGACAGTATACCAAAAGTGAATTACATTCTCAAAAAAATTGTCTTTAGAAGTATCCCTGAAAAAGCTGAATACTGCAGTATTTTTACGTAATTGTGAAACAAGTTTTTGCAAGTTTTATATATGAATCACTTTTTGCTTACAAAACCTGAAGGCATATGAGGAGACATAGTTGCTATTACCCTGTTTGGGTCAAACCCTCAACATGGGGTTGCAAGACTATTATTCAAGGACATAAGTGAGCTGTCATTTGTGACTTCCCATGTGATTGCAAGACTCTGCTATTGTAATTGTTTTAAATTCTGTCATTTTATTCATTGAAATTATTTCAATTTAAAAATATACTAATATGTTATTCATATTATACAATTTAAAATACACTGATCAGAATATGATTACACTGTCAATATCTGTAACTGAAAATTTAGTCAGGAACATAACTAGTGCAAGCTCTTTCTATTTTTTTTTTTTGGTAAATTTCTGAAAGACCTTTGTTCAAAGTTATTGTGAAATGGAATATTTTTTTATAAAATGCAATTATTTTAAATCATTCAGTTATTTTTGCATTGTTTTGTTACCATGGCAACCAAAATACACCATTTTTGCAATCAGTGCATTAAAGAATATTTGTTTTGGATTGGATTCATATTTTATATGCTATCATGTTATAGATGTGCATTTTAAAGTTGACTAACTTAAGATATGATATTCACCTTAATCATGTTACTGACATTCTGAGAATTTAATTCTTATGTTTAAAGTTATTATCAATAACTATTAAAGGAAAAAATGAAAAATCCTTTTTTTTTCCTGAAAAGTCTTTAATATTGTTGTCTTTTAATATAATATATGCATTAATTCGGTGATGAATTAATCATGTTAAATGCAAAAATATTGCATTTGATGTTTTTTTTAAATATTTTTGTTGCCATGGCAACCGATTTTTGAAAACAAACGATAGTTTTTATATCAAGATATTACATATATTACACTAAGATGAATGATCACTTTATTATTTTTTATTTTATTGTGTATAACTATGGAATTATTTCTAATTTGTATATACCAATAAAAGTTAAAAATGTATTTTTTGTTGTTATGGTGATGTCATACAAATTAGAATATTTCATAAAATATCAAGTATTTTTTTAAAAATAATTGTTTCCAGCTATTCAGCAGATGTTGTTCTACCACAAACTAGTCATAACTCATTTTCGCCCAAATATCACATTTGGGCCAAAAATCGCTGAGCTTGTCACATATATTACTAACATTTTTTTTTTATTTAAATATTTCAATTCGTGCTTTTTTGCATAGCTGTGGTCATCATCATCAAATATCTTTCATCAAGCGTTTGCATTACAAAACTGTTTGCAAGTCTTTTAAGCAAAAATGCAAGCTAAATGTGCGAACACTGCACTGCTGCAAGTGTAAGTTTTGTATTATGTTGTTGTTGTTGTTTTTGTTGTTGTTGTTGGTTTTTGTTTGTTTGTTGTTGATGTTTAAAAGATAACTAGAGTAACAAAGCGTGCTTTGAAAAATTTTAATTCGGTAACGTTGCATTGATGTATTACATAAATATATATATATATATTTGCATTTCGCGCCATTGACATTAATAAAACCTTCATGCAATTACAGTATACTCTAAGTTAATAGGGTGTCCAGACATATCATCTGAATATTTTTTTAATGAAATAACAAATTACAAAATATTTTGGTGCTATTATTACGGTTTTAACTGTTGGCTCGTGATGAGATAAACAAGTATATAAGTATTTCTTTTTCAAAATTAAATGTGGTATTTATACACTTTAAGTAAGATTTTTTTCAATAAATATTAGTTCGTCAAGTATAAAACCTGTCTTTATTTATTCATTGTTTTAAACATAATACTATAGAAAATTGTTCAGCCGTTAGGATATGATAATAAGTCATGATTTGTACCACTTATTGTATGTATACCACGCACACTTGAACAGATCTTTAAACTTCCTGCTTCGGAAAATAAGTTTTTTCAACGATTGAGGTAAAATTGAATGTTCCATTCATGTCAAGTTTGCGAACATCGTTGTTGGGATTTTTGTGGGATAAATAATACTTATTCTTTTCTTTTATCTTGAACAATGAACTGGAGTTTAAATTTGGTAAGTAGATATATTAATATCAATAGATTATTTTATTAAATGATAAGTTTGCATTGAATTCAACATTATACGATAATTGACTAGTTACACATAGTTACACATTGAATATCATGTGATATTCACCGGCAGATGATATATTGACCGAGGCGATAGGGGTACGGAAATACCAATTTTTACCAGTCACGTTTAATGTTGAATACTGCTTAAACCGGTGCTAGGAGGCGTGGACGTATTTGCACTTACCAGTACCGTCAATGAACAGACTCAATCAAACCAAGCCTGCAACATTTTCAGTTTTGCCGTGTTGAGTTTTCATTTCACTCTATTTTAAGAATATTTAATCTCTTAAATTACATCGTACTATATTTAGAATTTGTTTTCAGCTCATTTAACTGTAGAAAATTGAAATGTCTCTGTATTTAAAAAAAACCCTTTAAATGTTAAAAATCATTCAAAGAATATCATGTAATCATCATTATCGTTGGCATAGCAATAAATTTTCTTCTCCTTAACCTCGGAATTATCACTATAATTATCATTTACATCACCATCCTTATCAACTCAATCAGCATTATTCTGCTTATCGTCAGAATCATCGGCTACATGACAATACAATTATTTAGAAGACAATCGTCTAGAATTTACATTTCTCAGAAAGTTTTTTTATCAAAAATAATTCCTAAAAACTTAGCTTCATCAACTACTGGAATTTTAGAACCAGATATGTAAAGTTCAGGGTCATTATGGTGTTTCCGCAATCAACAAAAATGAACACATTGAGTTTTTGACTTTGAACATTTAAAACCATTTTCTATTGCCCACTTTTGAATTTTATCTAAATTTTGTTAAAGTTGCCTTTCAATTGTTCTCATACTTTTCGGTCGATAGCAGATACGAAAAACGTCCACATATGGAGAACAATCTATGCCTGCTGTAAGAGCGCTAACAACATTGTTCATTTTAAGGCAAAAAAAGTGTAACAGAAAGTATGCTTCCTTGAGGAACACCTTGTTCTTGTTTGTTGTCCTCAGCAAAAGTTGAACCTAGTCTTATTTTAAGTGCCTATCGTTTGAAAAAACAGAAAGGAAGAGAGGAAGTCTGCCTTTAAGTCCAGTTCATTACCAGAGATACAGACTCAACGGTATCAAATGTAGAAATATCTGATCCTGGACTCCCAGTCAATAATGGAAACACGTCTCGTGATCACTTCGCTGTTGTGTTTAATGCTAGTGTATCAAAACCACCACCACAACGAAACACTGTGACTTTTAAAGTCCAAGAGCATTGTTCTAAGACCAATGAATACGTGGTATTCCCAAGAACTACATGATGCTAAACATTTATGGCGTCAGTTAGAGCGATAGTGGCGCTTGACTGGATTGAAAATTGATCACTTAATTTATAGAAACCAATACGCTGTTACAAATAAGCTTCTAAATAATGTCCAAAGTCAAATTCTACACTGCGAAAGTAGAGTCATGTGGTCGTGATATGAAAAAATCTTACCAAAGTGACCCGGCATTTGATGGGTGCAAAAACAGATGTTGTGCTGCAATCTGGTAAACTTGCAAACGTTCTAGCACAAGACTTTAGTGATTTCTTTGTGGATAAGGTTGAAGGCATACGTAATGGTATAGCCAGGACCAAGTATCACCAACAAACAGACAATGTTGTCCCTGAAGCACCTTTCAATGGAGAGCAATTTTCAAACTTTTCAGTAGTCTCTAAAATAGGAAAATTCAAAAATTATTCGCAATTCGCCAAACAAATCCTGTGAACTTGACACCATTCCAACATGGCTGATGAAAGATGGTTTAAATAAACTATTACCATTGATCACAAAAATCATAAACACTTCACTTGAAAGCGTCTATGTACCATCCGCTTTTAAAAGTTCTTGAGTCAGACCTATGATCAAAAAGTCAGGGTTGGATCAAGAGGTTATGAAAAACTACCGGCCTGTATCTAGTTTACCGTTTGTCTCCAAAATTCTCGAGGAAGTTGTCGATTCCCAACTTGAAAGACACCTATCTGCACATAAACTTCATGAAGAGCGTCAGTCTGCTTATAGGCAGTTTCATTCAACAGAATCTGGTCTATTATGTGTACAAAATGACACTTCCGTTCTCTTGATCAGAATGAAGCTACTGTTTTAGTTATGTTGGACTTATCTCCTGCTTTTGATATGATCGACCATAGTACACTCCTTTGCCGGTTCGAACAACACTTCGGAATAGTAGGCAAACCTTTACAATGGATAAAATCATATCTCTGTGAGCGTCATTAAACTGTCTGCGTCAATGGTGAACTGTCAAAACCTGTACGTATGACATTTTCTGTGCCACAAGTGTCCGTTCTTGGTCCGAAGAATTACGCCATGTACACCAAACCTGTGGGGGCGATCTGTCGGAAGCATTAACTTCAACATCATTTCTATGCTGACGATTCGCAATTGTACATGGCATTTAAACCAAAGGAAGCCATTTCACGCAATGAGACCTTGCGATGGATTGAAGCATGCTTGAATTACATCATACTATGGATGAATAATAACTTTTTGAAACTCAATGCGGACAAAACAGAGGTGATCGTATTTGTACCAAAACGAAGTGATGTTGAAGATCTTACTGTAAGAGTCGGTGATTCTGTAATAAAACCATCAACAACAGTTACAAACCTTGGCGCCGTATTGGACTCTCATTTAGACATTGAACAACATGTGAATTCAGTTTCTCGTTCATGCTTCATGAAAATACGACAAATAGGTCAAATTCGGAAATCCTTGACTGTTGATTCAACCAGAGCCTTGATAAACTCGTTAGTGACATCAAAATTAGATTACTGTAATACGTTGCTATATGAATCTCCAAAGGACGTTCTCAACAAGCTCCAAGATGTTCAAAATACAGCTGCTCGTGTTATTACAAGGACATCTCGAAACTGCCATATAACCCCAGTTTTAAAGGAACTACATTGGCTTCCTGTGCACATCAGAGTCGAGTACAAACTCCTTACATATGTGTTTAAGACGCTTCATGGTCATGCACCTACGTACATACGAAACATGCTAGACATTTATACCCCATCCAGACAACTAAGATCCCTGAATGCTTAGCACTTGTTGTACCGCCTGGTAGGACTGTGACTTATGATGATCATGCTTTTATGACGGCAGCCCCTAAACTCTGGAATGCCCTACCTAGAACACATAAAAGTTGTGACTCTCAAACAGTGTTTAAGAGAGCACTTAATTAAGAGGTTTTATTTGGGCTGATTTTTATTTAGGTTCTTACCTGAATTTTATTATTTATATGTGTCTTTTTAACTTTTTTAAACTACACTTGATTTGAATTTTTGACTTGAGCAATATTAATGTTTTTATTTTTTTTTATTTTAAATATTGTATCATTTATTTGGTTATACTGTACAGTACTTTTGAACGTGTCAAAGTTCTTGAAAAAAGTGCTTAAGAAATTTGGTATATAATCGGTTAGTTTGGTATCTAGAAAAAAATGGAATTATCACTAATTTTCAGTCAGGTTTTCGTAAACAGCGAAGAACAAACGATCA